AAAAAAAAAAAAAAAAAAAAAAAAAATGAATGTAAGGTCAGTAGCCTCTGAAAGAATCACCCAGAAATTGCTAGACTGGAAGGAGTGTCCCACCTAAGGCTGGATTCAACAGAAATATCAGAGATGGGGGGAGAAACCAGCCTTGAGCGTTCGCCAGTAGGCACACAGGTGAACATGGACAATTGTAGTAAGCCTATAAATTAAAAAAGAGGTCAGTAAATTTAATAAAGCATGTCTAAATAAACAGAAATCCTTAATATTTACAGAAATGTTGGAATTTTTTTTAGAAGAATAACCAATGGTAAGATAAACTAAAAAATAAAGTGTACGGTATCACTATGGTAAGATATTTGAGCAGATTACTACTGCAGGTGAAGAGCGAACTTTTACAACTTTTTATTGGAAACAGAGGAACAACCCAAGGAATCTTTCTTATTTTCACAAGCAGAAAAATGTTTTATAGGTTTGTGTCGCTGTAATATTTGATTCTAGATGAATTGCAAGCTCCTTTGTAATAATCTTATGAATAAGCCCATGAAAAGTGAGTCAGATGTTGTAAAGTTCTAACACATATTTTTATTCTTTTTTAGATTTTCTTCTCTGCAAAATAAAAATTATTTTTACCTTGGCAAAATAAGATGGTCAGAATAATTTTGTTGCACTTATGCAAAATAAAGAAATTCTGATCAGCTGCATAAAATTTACTTATGGTTAACAATACATCTTACATAATTAAAATGTAAGAAGTCTGATTTCATGTGATTTTATAAAAGAAAAAATTATATTTTATATGGCTAATCAATAACTGGAATACCACATTATGTGATAAGTAAACTTGTATCACTTTCGGAAATAAACACATGCAAATAAAAAAACTATGTCATACTTTAACACTGATAAATCAGAGAAGATATAATTATTTTGATTAAACATTAAAGATTACAATTTTATCAGGTACTTATATTTTCTGAATTTGGATTCTTAAAATTGTTGAGAGTTAAGTTCTCAGAGAATATATATTTTTTATTTATTTAAAGTATCAAATATTCAATTTTCTTATTTTCAGAGTTTTAGAAGTATTACATTATTGTAAGCTATTGGTTATCTATGTGTGTCGATCAAAAGAGAGCTTCTTTTGTTTGTAAAATAGACTAATACTATAAGGAAATTTTTAAAAATCCCTTGTTTACTCCCTCTATGAATCAGCACTCCTATCACTGGGACCCATTACTTAATATCCACAATTTAAAGTATGAGATGATTAATTTGGTGCACAGTTTCAGACATTTCAGTCCATGGGCAGCTGGCTCCAAGGCAAAAACATGGTAGAAGCATGTGGCAGAGAAAAGATGCTTAGTTCCTGGTGGCCAGAAAGCACAGCAGGGAAACAGTACCAGAGAAGAAAGGACCAGTCACTATATTTAATACCCTAAGTCTCACCTCCTAACTCACTTAGGCACATCCAAAATTGTGTTCCACCAATCCCATGGACAGTTCCCAAGCCAATCAAGTAGATACAGTCAAACTTAGTTGTTGCACTCATGTAATCAGAAGTGAAGGTTAACTACAGTGTAGTAGGTATATTGGGACAGAAACACAGTGCTTTTCACTCAATTTTACAAATTTCATCCATGGGTCAAGAGTAACACAAAAAGAGTAAAACTCCTTGATACAAGTATCTAATAACTGCTCTCCTTTCAGATAGCATGAAATTCTTTTTATATTGATTTAAAAAATAGACAAGCAAAAAAAAAAACCCTGACAAACCAGATTCTGTGTTTTCTATTGAACAGCAGAAAACAGAATTTGACAATGAACTATTTAGAGATATCCAAAATGTTGGATCATAAAACAAATTCTCAACATATAATCAAGCAATCATACTATTTATTATATATGTAAGGGAAGTGAAGACATATGTACACATAACAACTTGCACTACTTATAATAATCAAAAAGGAGAAATAACACAAATGTCCATCAACTCTTAATGTATAAACAAAATTTAATGTAATGAATATAATGGAATATTTTATAGCCCCAGAATAATGAAGTCTTGATATACACTGTGATGTCGATGAATCTTGAAAACATTATTCTAAGTGAAAAATAAAATTAAAATTCCCAACCACGATTGTCAACAATGAGGAACAACTGATCAGCTCTAAATGAACCAAAAAATACAGGAACACTAGTGTTAAAGGCAAGAAAATAAAATTTGTAAAAACAGTGTCAACGAAGTTCTAAGGGTGCATTTGATTCATATATGAAAAAAACAGATAAGGGATTTAAACATGCTCTTGATATATGTCTGCCACTGAAGTTTCATAGCTCTAGTTTGGTGAATTAATTTGACATGTCAGAGTATGTCCCCCAAAATAGGTGAAGATAATTATCAAAATATATAAAATTATGGCACTCATGCAGACACCACTCCATATTAAAACACTTATCCATGAATATATGACAAATATTAAATAAATTGGAAGATATTATAAACAGTACAAAGGAGAGAATTAAAGAACAGAAATATGAATATTGATCAGGAATACTGAGATGAATACACAGGTGCATGCAAAACTGGTATGATTACTTGTGAGAGAGAAGGACAACTGAACCTCTACTAGAGTTTTAAGTGTATCAGTGACTACCACTTACTTACAAAACGTAAAATAGTCCAGAGAAAGTAAGACTAGAAACAGATAGATAAGCTAAAATTGTGTTCTACGGGTAAGGAAAAGATTTCTCTTGAACAAGGTTTTTTTTGTTTTGTTTTGTTTTGTTTTTTGCCAGAATTCTAAAGTCTAAAAGCAAGTCATAGGGTGAACTATAACTATATAGGGTGAACTATAGCAAAAAGGGTGAACAGAATCAGTTCAACTCATGAGAGACACTTTGGTGTTATAAGCATGAAAAAAGACAATTAAAAGATAAAAATTTCAATTGTGAACATTTAAGTAATGTATAAATGGAAGCAAGATTGTTTTCATTACACTACTATAAGTAAGACAAATGCACTTCTACTGGACATGAGATTCAGTCTGCCTATAAGTGACCAATGGCTTACAAAGGAATGTAAAAGAGCACAAAGACAAAATGAGGCTGTGACCAGAGAGACTGAATGGTGTGCTAACCACCAGGCAATGCCTTTATTGAGACAGAAATGTTTCTATAATGTTAAACTTTAGCAGAAGGTTAGAATTCCCTGAAAAAAAAAGCATCCAGTTACTATAACCATCAGATTCATCATAGACAGAGGCCTAACCAGAGCCGGGTGGACACCAATGACATCACAAAGGCCAGGTTGTCACAAAGGCAGCTCCTGAGCCATAAGAAGCACAGAGAGGCAAGCGGGAGGGCACAAGCACTGCTCTTTCGAGAGGCTCAGGCCAGAAGCGAAATCGAGCCGGGACAACTGAAGCCAAACACAGCAAGCGCCATGGCTGCGAAGAAAAGAAATCAGAAGAGCTCCAAGCATAGGAAGCAGGCAGTGTCCCGGTCCCGGAGAGCCGAGCTGCAGTTTCCCGTCAGCCGCGTGGAGCGCTACCTGAGAGAGGGCGGCTATGCCAGGCGCCTGGGCTCGTCCGCACCAGTGTTTCTTGCCGGCGTTCTCGAGTACCTGACCTCCAACATCCTCAACCTGGCTGGCAAGGAGGCCCAGGACAAGCGCAGGAAGCGCATCGCTCCACAGCACCTGGAGACGGCGATGGAGAACAACGAGCAGCTCTGCCCCCTTGTCAAGGATGACAATAAGTCTCTGGTTGATGAGACGGCCCGACCCAAGAAGAAGTGATGTGACCTGGGTCCCAGAGCACGGCAAGACCTCAACGACCTCCTCATCCAACCCTCAAAACACCCATGCATGAGGGAGCCCTTGCTATCGCTATCGGCCTTGCCAATAAAATGGTTAAACCAATGCCAGTTGTTTGTTCTGACTCTTTCCGTTTCGGTCATTTTGAGTTAGAGGTGTGGGTGGGCATCCAGGAAGAGCTACCTATTGAAAGTTAGAGGGATGGTCAGAGCTGTGGTCAGTGTGGGGATTTCCAATCGGCGCTTTCAGGGAAGGAGTTTCAGTGGGTATTGTGTGGGCGTGGCCTCAGGGCTGGAGCTGGCGTGGGTAGAGGGCAAAGAAGACCTCCATAGAGGCTCTGAGGAAGGAAAATCCTGGGAGGCAAGAAAGTTTAATTCTCAGCATGATGTTGGTACCTGGGGAGGAGCTTAGGACCAGCACTGAGGAGCAGGTCTGAAGTCAGAAAGTGACAGAAATGGGGGCATTGTGAAGGGTGGACATTGTTGGTAGGAACTTAATGGGACATGAGCATTTGAATGAAGACTAAGAAGTGATGGGGAAGCAAGACTGAAATACACAAAACAGGAAATATTAAAGCGATTTAATTCATCATCCCTTTATCTTTTTATAGTCTGCTTCATTTTAAAAGAGGACTTTAAAAAAGAATAGCAGCTAGTGATGTAATGTTTTATGTGGAAGAACTCTCTTTCTATGGTCACATAAAAGTCCCTCCATCTGGAAGTTTTCCCAAATATAGGCCCGTGTATGCCTATAAACAGGACACTTCACCCAGCTTGTGACACAGCTTAGCCCTTAATGGCTAACTATGTCTATCCCCTCCCCTAACTCATTTGCACAAGCATGCTAGGTGCTGGGCCATTGGCTGTGACAGCTGCTTCATGAAGCTCCTTGTCAAAAGACAGGATTGTGCCATGAGGAGGAGAGAGGCAGGAGGGAATGAACACACTAGGCCACATCCTGATTTCCTCTCTGCTCTTTCTGCCTGGTGTCTAACCAGGCTGGGCTGTTGGGTAATTCATAGGAGTGTCTGTAAGTAAAGGGGATAGCGTTAAGGTTGTTCTTAGAGAGTTTTGGGAGCTGCGCCTGTAGAAATCCAAGAAGCCTTGTGCCACATTTTATCTAGCATACCTGGTATCTACAGAAAACTCACTTTCAAGATACCTACCCCATAACTTTGGGATTTGTTCGAGAGTGATGAAGTCTTCCTAGCCTTAGTCAAGTTCATCTCTTCCATTTTGTTCATTGTAGTAGTATGGAGGCATCTCTCCTCAGAGATCACAGGTAGAGAGCCTCCTTCAGCTGATCACATTGTAAGGACACCTTCACTTGCTCCTATCTCTGCAAAACATATGACAAGACCTGATAACTCCTAGTCCAGTGAAATGTGATGGCTACTAAAATGGGCAATTGCAGAGAGTCAATCACACTCACATCTTGACACTTTGGTTAAATAGCTATCTGAGGTTTGAAAGCTACTTATTTCACTTACAGATATGGCTTATGTAGAATGAACACAACCTTTTAGACATTCCATAGGACAGCATCAAGAGGAATTCATTCCAAGCAAGAGAAGCCATAATACGTGGGGTAACTATGTCAGGTAAACATTTCTCTGGGGCCAAATAGTCCACTTCCAGTCCACCGCACAGATGACACCAATTCTCACTGTGCCTCCTGTAAGTAGCCAGGATCCTTGGGGTATTTCAGGCTTTGTTTGATGTCTGAGGTGGAGTTTGGAAGTTGAGTCTTACTGAACTTCTGCTGGCAAGAACCAAGAGTCCAGATCCAAGTAGGACCAGCACAGACACTGTCATTCTTTCGTGAATTGTGTTTGTGAATTTCACGTGAAACATGGAAGCTATGACCAACCAGCATAGCATCAGTCTACTGCAGTACCCTGGCACACGTCCCTTTTACACATACAAAGAACATACACTCAAGGGAGGAGAATGGCATGAGAGTCACTGCTCTTGAGAAGGCATGAGCCCACTCAAGTATAGGCCTTTTTTCAATTTGTGTAATGTGGGAGGAGAGATGTTGAGGAAGAATCCTCTCTAGCTTGAGCTGTACAAATAGAACACTATCAGTGACCAGTGCAAAGTTAAGAGAATAAGTTAAAATACAAGGGAGCCAGGAGAAACTGCCAATTTGGGTCTGTAATCCTATAAGGGACCAACACAGGTTCACGGGGTAGAAAACATCACCTATGAGAATAGCTGTGCTTACAAGTCAAGACATGGAGAGTTTGAATGGCAACTGGCTTGGTGTTAGAATGAACTCAAGGCCTGGCAATAAGAATGGCCTTACACTAAGAGCATCCTTTGGGAACTGGAGAATTCTGAAGGCCCAGTTCCCCTAGTTCCAGTATGCGACAGATCCTATAAGTTGCTTTGACTCTTAAAAAATGGCCTTTCTTACTTCCAAATTATGGTTATAGAAAGAGGTTGTTCTACTAAATTCAAAAGCATTATTTAATAATGCACAAATTACAAATGGAAGTTCACATACCTAATCTAGACAGCAGACAAATTAGCCTATATTACACAGGTATTTTTAAAGAAAGTTAATTGGCTGTTGAAATTTTAAAATCAGGAAGTTTTTACCTAAATATCTGGATTTATATCTACTCTTGAAGAATTAAATATATATATATATATTTATAGTCAGCTGAAAATGACAAGGTTCTGTCCTTTGAGGAATAACATCCTTGGTTTGCCATAGTCCACATTCTTTCCCAATGAATTTCATGTGTGATTCATGCCACTCATTTATAGTAACTACTGACCTGATTGCTAGTTGAGTTTCTTATTCACACAACAAAGTTGTTTTAAAACCACAGGTAGCCAGTTTTCTCATTTGATGAAATAGTATAGTACATCTCAATTTATCTTTGGTCTAGGGTCAACATAGTGTTTGGTATTATTGTGCATTTGTTTGTGAAATGATAGATGATCCTACTGCACATGACTAGTATGAAGTTTACACCTGACTTGTCATTTGAATTCAACAACACTCAAGCTGGAATATATCTTGTTGAACAAAATGAGCTCACTCACTTGCCAGCCAGTAACAAATAGCTCATGGACCACTGCCAGTCCACAAACCAGTCTTAATAAAACTGGAATGCTGAATTTTCTTTATTTTTTTAAAGAATGTAGTTTAAATATAAGGAAATGCAGCGAATAGGACCTACCTTATATAGTTATTATCTCTCCTTCAGAGTCATAACATTGGGAGAAAGTGGTTCTAAATTTGTTAGAACAAAATCTACTAAGGAAAAGAGGTTAGATATTGTGATTATGAGATGTTTGTGTTTCAAAATGTAGGATGATGAAGGGAAGGTAGGGGTATGGGGAAAAATGAGAACCAAGATCTGTCATGTAAGGGTACAAGATCCAATGATGAATGTAACTGAACTATATACTTTAAAAATACCAATAAACTCAGTAAGATAGAAAATATAGGATGCAAGGAATTCACCAACTCAACAGGGGAAGGGAGTCCTCTACAGGGATAAAACAGTGAAAGAATAGGGAGGAAAACTGGCTTCTGTTCTCCCAGTAGTGTTACTTGTGGGTCCATAAGAGTCCATGGCTTCAAAATTAGGAAGTTACAAAAAAACCTTTTAGGTCCAGGGATTTAGCTCAGCGGTTCGTTGGCCTGCCTTGCAAGCGCAAGGACCTGAGTTCGATCCCCGGTACCAAAAACAAAAACAAACAAACAAAAATCTTTTAAATGTTGGGGTAGGGATAAGAACATTCTTTATGGAAAAATAATACGACAAACTGATTTTAAAGTCCAACAGTAAAATATATATTAATTAAAACCTGATAGATACCTTGGGAACTCTTGTGAGATGCAGGGAGGTTCTTTTCTCTCCCTCAATTTAATATAGAATTTGGATAGTGTAAGCCACACAAAATCAGAAGAAATGATATTCAGTTACTAGTATAGAGATTCCTCATACCCCAAGTAGTTGTCCTAAATAAGAAACTACTTAAATGCACCACATATGGACAGGCACCCCCCCACACTAATCTTTATTGTTTGGCTTTCTTCATGGCTTGTTAGGCATATGAAACCTGGGCATATCTTGTGTCTACTTATTTCAGACAAAAAAGGAAAGGATAAAGCTGGGTAAAATCAAATTTGTCCTAATTAGCTAGGTGTGATGTGTGTACCCTTACCAAACACTGATCTTTAACATTTGTAGACACAATTCTTCGGGGCATAAGGATATGTACCTGATGACAGTTTGATTATATTGGGTCTCTGTCATCTTCAGCTAGGACCTCCCTCCACGATGGCCACCCAATATTCCTCATCGCAACTGACACATACACAGGTGTGTTGCTAGCCTTCCCTTCCAGGCATGATAATTTTGAATCTACTAAGTAATTCAAGAATTTCCTAGATTAGTGCTACTCCTCATGAGATCTCCTGATATTGACTCTAAATTTCCCACATCATTTTGCAAACAATTCAAGAGTAAGAATTACAACAGGGCATTCGGCGGAACTTTCGTTTAATCTATAGCCACAAGGCAGCTGCCTTAATTGAAAGACATAATGTTCTTCTTAATTACTCCTGAAGTTACAATCTGGCAAATCGACCTCCAAATTGACCTCTTCCTTTCCTTATGTTTTATTATGTTAAACTTTCAACCTATGGTTCTCTTGTCCTTGTACAAAAATTATCTCCCTCTCCATATTTTGCACTGAAAATGATTATTTTGATGTTCAGAAGAATGATTATTTTATACTATATGTTAGTTGGCTTTCCATCACTGTAACAAAATACCTAAGGAAATTCAGTTATAATAAGAAAAGCTTCATTTTGGTTCCTCGTTTTGGAGGTTCTAGTCCCTGATCAAATGTCCTCACGACTTTGGGCCACTGGCAAAATAGCACATCCATGCAGGAGTGCATGAAAGAGTAAACCACTAATCCTATCAGCGAGAAGGAAAAAAATAAATAGGATGGGCCAGGACACCAAAATCCTTTTTGAGGATATTCCCCCAAATATCTAAGGACCCCACTCTAAAAATTTCCACCAGCTCCCAACAGTGACACCCTGAGGACTGCTTTTCACACACAGTCCTTTGG